ATCCCCGTGACGCTTCCCAGCCCCCCCCCCACCCTGGGGATCCCTGTGACTCCCCCGCCCCCCGGGGATTTTCGGGCCCGTGCTTTGGTTTCTCTTTGTGGTTGAACAAACCCGGCCTCGGCCTCTCGCTGCCGCCAGCTACGGCCCAGCCTGCCGGGGGAGGGAAGTGCCTCAGGCGGCAGCTGGAGGGTCAGGCCGGGCCCCGGCCAGTGGGAGCTGCGCGCCGGGCGGGGCTCCCTGCAGCAGCCTGGGGCTCAGGTAAGTTGGCGGCCGGGCCGGGCCGCGATTCCCCCGACTCCTCCAGGCCGGGCTTGGGCGAGCGGGACTGCCTTGACCCCCCTCCCCAGTCTCCCCCGCGGGCTAGGGACCCCAGGACCGCCCAGCCGAGCGCGGCCAGAAATCCCGGCGCCCCCCCCCCTCCGATCTCCCCCATCGCGGATCAGGGCCCCCCCGCCCGTGGACCAGGGGCCTCAGGGCCCCCCCCCGGGCACGGGCTACGGACCCCGATCCCCCTGGGTCCCCACCACAGCCCACCCCCCTTCCCGGGTGCAGCTGTTGCCAAAACTAGTGAGAGCAGTGACGGAGTAATCCTGTTTCCCCGGGGCCGGGGCCGGGGCCGGGGCAGGTGCTGGGGGTGTTGGTGTCCTGTGATATCCGGGAGGCCAGACTAGATGATCTGCAATCCCATTCCCTTCTGGCCTTAAACTCTGTCTCCCCCCCGCCCCCCGAAACACGTGTCATTGCAGAGACCGAGAGAGAGGTGGCTTTCTCCTTGCACTAAAGTCAGTAGTGGGTTTTTCTGGTCCACTGACTGAAATAATCCACTCCCTCCCTGTCAAGGAAAAGCCCTGTGCAGATCTTGTAAAGCCACCTTTATAGCATGTACAGACGCCAGTAATGGTTTCGGTTACATATTCTTTAGGTAGTGCGTTTGTTATATGAGACCCTGGGGGAGGGAAATCGATGGGGGTGTTGGCCAACCCAATAATAATCCAGCTGGTATCCAGCAAAGGCAAACCATTGACTTGGAGGTATTTGAGAATTTAGCTAGCTGGCCTCAGTAGTAGGTTACAAAAACATCTTGGCTGAATTAAACATTCCTGAATGCCACTGTGTATTTTTTGGCCACTGTTGGTGCAAGAATCTTCTCTGCAGTGTCTAGTATCTGGAACACCCTTCTTTTATTTCTCCAGCTTGTTGACTTTTCATCTTATTTCAAATCTTAACTGAAAACCTATTTTTGATGCCTAGGCCTGTTAGACTCTCCCTCCCTTTCTTAGGGGTTTTGTATTAATCTTTACTGATGTAACCCATTTAGGGATACAATATGTATGCAAGGTACCACAGAGAAAAGAAAACAGTACAATCTTACAGCTGTTTACACAAGCAAAAGTCCCACTGAAGTCAATGGAGACTTTCCTGCACAAGAACTACAGGATATCTAATCTAGGGCACTGATCACCACAGAAAAATGTGCAGAGTATCTAGAAGATGGCCTTATAATTGTACAGTCTTATATTCCTCTAGGTTCCTGGCTGATCAGAGCCTGTGTGGGTTTTTAGGGCAGGAAAAAATTGCATTCTATTCTCTGAGCTAATAACATGAACATTGATTCTGTTTTTTCAGATCATTAGTTAATAACAGTTTCTGCTAATGTCACCATTGGGACCAGGACTGGTACTTCTGTGTTAGTGCTGTCATGAGAAAAATGTGATTCATAAGAATACAGTTATGAATTATATTTGTTCAGGTTCTATATGTAATAAAACCCTGAATTTTCCAAACCGTTCTTGAGTCCTCCAGAGGCAGTGTTGGCTTGATTTTCACAGTGTCCATTAACTACAGGGGGAGAGCTGGAGGTGCTCAGCAAATCAGGCCCTATCTAGTGGCTAGAGAGTGGCATTAGTTAATGGACTGTATTTTCCTGGGTTTTCCTCTGTCTTCCTTTATGACTGTGGGAAAGTCATTACACCTCTCTGTTCTGGAGTTTCCACATCTGTAAAATGCAATCACAGACAAGCTTTGGGTGCAATGGGAACTAGAGTTCTGAGACTGGGGATTTACTCTACAGAAAATAATTCTGCCGTGCAGGATTGACCAATGGTATTCTAGTTCTAAAAAGAACAGAAATATTTACTTTGCCCTGAAAACAAACCTGAAAACTATGCAAAGCCCCCCAGCTTCCCCTTGATTATAATATATCTGTTTTCATTTTGTGATTCAGGGGAATTTTAAATCTGTACAGTAATTTCCTGCTGGTACCTAGTCAAACCCCACCATGACACTTAGTCACACATGTCAGCGACAGATTTAATTAAACAGATCGCTAGATTACTACACAGGTTTGAAGTTGCCTTGTGGACTTTGATGCTCAATGTATTATTTCACATCTACTGGAGCGGGTGTCTGCTTGTTTCAGCAGTTAGTGTGTTCCACATCTTTCACAGCAGTTTACTTCAGATGGCTGAGAGGGCAGACAGAGTCTCTCCGGATGGCCCTGGCTCATCTCCTGATGAAAACGAATTTCCCTTTGGTTATCCCACCAGCATCTGTGAGAATGTGCCCGATCACAAATACCTGTGCAGCAGCTGTAATAACGTCTTGAAGAAAGCCCAGCAAACGCTATGTGGGCATAGATACTGCTCGGCTTGCCTGTCATGGGTTGTACGGTAAGTTCTTTCTACAGGAGACCACGTGATAATGCATTTCTGCCGAGAAGACAGAAAGATTTCAAGTGGCAGATTCTGTAGCTACAACCCTAGTAGGATGATCTGTTGTGATAATCTACTAAATAGGGAGAAAGTGTTAGAGTAGAGTTTGAGAGTACCTGGGAGGTTGATAGTAGTAATTTTATCATCCATGTATACTTCCTTACAGTGGTATTATTTTCAGGATGTATGTCTATAGGCTTCGAGTGTGGTCTAGTGGTCAGGATTGCTAGGTTTTCCTCTTGGCTCTGCTGTTGACTTGCTGTATAACCTTAGGCAAATTACCTCTGTATACTTCAAGTATCAGAGGGGTAACCGTGTTAGTCTGTATCCACAAAAACAACCAGGAGTCCAGTGGCACCTTAGAGACTAACACATTTATTTGGGCATAAGCTTTCGTGGCTAAAAACCCACTTCTTCAGATGCATGGAGTGAAAATTACAGATACAAGCATAAATATACTGGCACGTAAAGAGAAGGGAGTTACCTTACAAGTGGAGAATCAGTGATGACAAGGCCAATTCAGTTAGGGTGGATGTGGTCCACTCCCAATAATTGATGAGAAGGTGTCTATACCAAGAGAGGGAAAATTGCTTTTGTAGTGAGCCAGCCACTCCCAGTCCCTATTCAAGCCCAAATTGATGGTGTTAAGTTTGCAAATGAATTGTAGCGCTGCAGTTTCTCTTTGAAGTCTGTTTCTATACTTCAGTTTCCCTTCCCAGTCTAAAAGGGAGAGAATCATATTGAAAGCTCATAGGAAGGCTATTGTGAAGTTACTTTAATACATGAAAATGCTTTGCAATTCTTGGATGAAAGGTGCTATGGAAGTTTAAAAATTTGTTATTATTTTAGAACATTATAAAGTGCACGATGTAAAATCTGGGTCAATGCCCAGTGAAGAACCAACCCTCAGAACAATCCCAGCCTTTTGCTTGGAGATAGATGGATATTGTTCTTAATTGGTTAGCTGCTTCTCTCCTCTTCTCTTTAAGGGCTGGTCTACACTGGCAATGCTAAAGTGCTGCCGTGGCAGCGCTTTTATATGCCTTGTGTGGTCGCAGCGCTTTTTTCATACCCCTGAGCCAGAAAGTTGCAGCGCTGTAAATTGCCAGTGTAGACAAGCCCTAAGTATATATCCTGATGAAACTGTAACAAAAAGCTGAGTCGGTCAGCCAGCCACATGTGACTGGCAGGTCAAAGCACTACAGTGTAATGGCATTTTACACAGAATGCATGTGGCCCACTGGGCTAAATTCTGCTTGCTCTCACTGGTGTAAATCCAGAGTAACTCTGCTGCAGTCAGTGGAGTCACTGAGGACTTGCACTCCTGAAAATAAGAACAGAATTTGCTATGTCTGCTTATATCTTCTCATGGCAACCTTGTAATGGAACTGGAAACGGAACCAAGCAAACCTGTTAGTACAGTCTGAAGGAAGTCATCTGGTCATAAGGACACTTTTCTGTCGGGTTTCTTGAACTGAGCTAATACATGACT